TAATAATAATAAATATTATATATTTATTATGTTTAAAAATTGTGTGTGTGTGTTTGCTCGAACAAATATTATTCTTTAAAAGTAAATGTTTTTTCTTTTTTATAAAAAAAAAAGAAAAAAATATAACATAGAGATCGTTTAATTTTCTAACGCTAACAATTCGCGTTAGAAATTACGAAAAAAGATTATTGGTTGAAGTTCGTAGTCGTCTGGAATCGAGTTTTCCTGGCCATTGTCGATATTCGTCTACGTCGCGTCGCAGTCGTGTTAGAAGGGAAAGTCGTCTTTCGTCGGAAGGGTTCCATCTATTGCACTTCAAGTTATACGACACGCGTTTGAAAAGGGCTATCGATCGATCGAGGAAAGTTCTAACAATCTTTAGCTTTGCACAAGTTATGTGTCCATAACGAAACATACTAATACTAACCTATTGCATTTCTGCAACAACAACAGCAACAACAACAACAACAACAACAACTTTCATATACATTTTAATATCGTTTCATTATATTTTTGAAATTCACTGAAATTATTCATTGTTTTTTGTTCCTTTCCATCCTTATAATTAAATTTTTGTATTTAATTAAATTTTAAATACTAACGAGGCGTATCAATTAATTTTTATCTCATTGAAATAAAATATTTTTTAATTCTTTCTACGCGCACGACTCGTTGTTTATTTTTTATATTGTCAACGTAAAAGAATATATATATATATGTATATTTATAATCTTTGTTTCTTTATTTTTTGTTATACTTCTTCTTCTTCTTCTTCTTCTATTAAACATATTAATTAAATTTAAAATGTAAGCTGAAATAAATGAAATAATTTTATTTTTACAAGAGTAAGAGTTGTTTAATTATTGTAGCGCATTTTTTTTTTTTTTTATATTCATCATCATAACTTGTTTTAAGAGATTTAAAAAAAAATAAATAAAGTTGTTGAACGTGTAAAAGTTGCATATTCGAAATTCTTTTATTTTTCTATATCCCAAAAAAAGAAAAAACATAAAAAAAAAAGATAGAAAATATTTCTACGCATTCGTAACTTCACTTCGCTTGTTTTATTTACGTATACAGATTTGATATCGAAAATTTTCTATGAAATATAATAACGATTTCCATCTATTGTTGATATTGTTTCATCGGAGAAACGTATAAAAATTGTGTATTTTATTTTATATTTCGACAAAATTAAAAGGAAATTTTGTATGACTTAAAAAGATAAATATTAACTTTATATTATAGAAGATTGAAATATTTAATCATTCCTATATATGATTTTTATTTATAACGAAAAGAATATATATATATAGTTGTGTTTTTTAATGAAATTAAAATAAAAGGGAATAAGTGTTGGACGTGTTTGTTGCATAGAATAAATATTAGCCGAGTGACAACCTTTTAAGAAAATTTGTCGTCAACGTTTTTTTTTTACTTATTACAAAATAAAAATCAACACGAAACGTAAAAAAAAAATAAAATTATAGAAAATAAAAAAAAAAAAAAAGAGAAAACAACAAAGTATGAAGGATTTCAATTGCATTCATAACTTTACTCGGCGTATTTTATTTGTGTATAGATAGATTTGATATCGAAAATTTTCCATAAAATGCAATACGAACTCCTGAAAACGAATTGAATTGTCCCGGAAATTGGAATATCGCGAAACATCAAATGTTTATTTTCCCCAAGACGATTTGTATTTTGTATTCTTGTAAATAAACGATATTTCTTTTTGTGTAATCTGTTATAATTTCTTAACTCGTGTATACGAATGTATAATATAGTAAAATAACAAAAAAAATATCACGTAGCTCATATATATATATATATATGTATGGATACTTATGACGAAAGCGCGAATTATAGCACGTGATATAATCGTAACATCAACATAGGAATGGAATAACAAAACGACGTATTGTACATGGAACGTGAATATGTGAGAAACGGGGTTGGAAACCTCGAAATGCATTTATGAAACGACGCGAGTCGAGCTACCATACAGGTTTGAACGAATTGAAGCAGCGAACGCTGACCCACATAAATTCTTGAAGAGTCACTTCGTTTTACTCTCATGTTAGATATAAAATACAGGAAGAGTAAGAAAGAGGAAAATAGAGAAAGAGAGTAGTTTTGAATCAAAGTACTTTGAACTTGAAGACGTATTTTAAATCAACTTTATAATTTTCGATGTATTATCAAAAATATCAAAAGTTTATCGAAATTAATACACTCTACTCTCTCTCTCTCTCTCTCTCTCTTTTGTAGAATATTTTTAAATATATTTTAACAATTATAATGTATTATCGAATCGAAGAAAAGTGTATATATATATAAAATACGTTCATTGTAATTTTGTAGAAAATTTCAACGCATGATTTGACCTAAATATGATATTTCCTATTAAATTTTAATTTTTTAATATAAAGTTTTATTCAATTATTCAATTATTCGAAGAGAGAAAAAAAGATATTAATTAAAATTAAAACATTTTGAACGTGGAATTTGACCCAAA